AGGGGGAGTGGGGGAGGTAGAGGGTACAGGTGACATGCGGAGAGACAAGGCCAGGTAGGAAGGAGGGACCCGGACAGGACGCAGGAGAAACGGCTGGGCGGCTGACTGAGCTCGGACTGCGTCTGCTGGCGTCTGAGCTGGCCAATGCCGGGGCATACGCACGGCCCTGTGACATTCTCGAAGCCACCTGGCCACGGCGTGTACACAGGTCTGCACCTGTGGGCGGATGCGGGCTGCGGGGCTCAAGCTAAGGGCTGGACGGAGGCACAGACTGCCGCGTGGGGGACCCTCCACCCGGGACGGCGTGCGGCAGACAGTTACCTGTGACAAGTCGTATGACGACAGCCCGTCTCTCTGGTGAACCTCCAGCTCTGCCTGCTGCTGTTGGAGCTGCCTGCGGAACAAGCCACAGTCACAGGGACGAAGGTGGTGGGCACGAGGCTGCGCCCGACCTGCCCTGGGCCCCGAGGCACCGTGGGCTGCACCTGACGGGTCTTTAAACCGTTCTCAATTTTAACTTATTTTGTTTTTTCATGCTCCAAATCAAGATTCTAAACCCCGTACCATTAGTTCAGAATGCCAATGCGTGGGAAATAAGATTTGACTTATGACTTCGTTTTATACAGGGTAGAAAGACATTAAAAGAGCAAAAAAATTAAGACTGAGTTCAGGAAGGCAGCTGGGTTTAATGCTGAGCGAACGTTCAACCCAAGCCGGCAGATTTACGTGGCTTCGCCCCACGTTAAAACGAGGAGCTTCTAATTTGCAGGAAGGCATGGTGGGGGCCAGAGGCATCAGGACGGAGCCTGCTCGCCCACCTACGGCAGACAAAGCTCCATCCCATAGAAAACGAGTCTCAGGCGTGGCTGCAAACCCCAGACACTGCGCTCACCCCATCCGACACCAGCACGTCCGCCCACAGCCCCGTTTCCGTCCAGAGCTGAGCGCACGTGCAAGAAGTGCTGACCAGTGGCCGCCCGCCCTGGGAAGAGGCCTAAGAAGCTTTCTCGGACATTTCACGGCCAGAGAACTAAAATAAACCTCGCTGCGCTTGCAAATTCTACAGAGGGAAAAGCCGCGAGGGAACCGGCTTCTTGCCGCGGCCACGTGCCGCCCCCCATGAGCCGGAGGCCGAGCGCTGACGATGACAAACCAGACGCGTCCGGCCCGGCTTCCTGTCCCTCCCGTCCGGGTGGCCTCCCGCATCAGGGAGGTCAGGATGCTGGGTGGACACCATCCATTACGCAGACGCTCCCTGGACAGAGGCCTTACTCAGCCTGGGAGGGTGGGCACGCAGCCGCGAGCGGGCACTCAGCGCCAGTGCGATGGCACCGGGGTGGCCGGGATCCGGCTCGCAGCCGTCAGGGGCTCAGGAAGCTCAGTGACCGGGGCGAGGCTGGTGACACCCGCCCCGACTGAGCCCCGTCTGCGTGCCCGCTGCGGAGAAGTCAGGACGCAGGGGTTTGGAGCTGCTTTGCTCGGGGACCAGGGACAGCGTGTCTGTTACAGGGAGAGGACCGGGGCCACGTGGGGTGGCTCGACAGGCGCCGGACAGAAGGCCGGGAGCAGGACGGGCCCTCACCCAAGTCCCGGCAAAGGCCTCACGGGGCCCGGACAGGAGGAGGACCCCAGGTCCCATGAGGCCGCCTGCTGCGGGCACATGGGGTGGGACCAGGACGAGTCCAGGCTGAGGCTGGGTGACCGGGGGTTTCGGCCCCTCCCATGGCCCTCAGCTCTGCTTTTCTACCCCCTCCGCCCAGCACCCTGCCAGCTGCTGCCCAGGACTGGCCACCGCTGGATGCGCGGGGGTGCTTCACACACTGACAGGCGCCGGCGTGACTGGGCTGTGGGGTTGTACGGACACGCACGCAGCGGCCGAGGTCACGGAGGCCCGGGAAGAGGGCCCGGCCCCGGCAAGCAGAGGGAGGTCCAGGCCACCCCCTCCGGGGCAGCATGGTGCCCGTGTGGGGCCAACGTCAGCACGCCACAATGCCCGTCAGGCCGGGCTGCCACCCACCGCCACGAGAGCGACGTGGGCACGTGGCCGCACGTGAAGCTGGGACCTGTCTTCGGGGGTCACCCCATCTTCCCGCACTAGGCTAACAGGGCAGCATGGAAGACAAAGAGGCCTTGTCCTCACAGCTTCCCACAAACGCTGACCACTGCCACAGCTCTGCGGAAGGTCCCGTGCGGTGGCCGCGACTGGGTGCCAGCTCTGCCCAAGCACAGAGCGTCGGTGGCCCTCTGCCGACCGGCTGCTGGCTGCGGGGTTAGCCAGACTCAAAGGGCCGGCGGCTGGCGTCCACGGCCGTCACTGCCCTCTGCTGACCGCAGCGAAAACCTCCCTTTAGTCCAGGAGTGGCTTCAGCGACAGGAGGTCTGGGACGGGGCCTCATCCATGGACAGCGGGCACCACAGTCACGCGGAGACAGTGGGATTAGGAGCACAGGTGTGGGGGAGGCGGCGAGGCAGACGGGTGGACGGAAGGTGGGGGGCCAGGATCCGCTAAGAGCGGAGCCCAGGGCTCTGAGCGAGACAGGCTTGCCCGGCTCCCATGTGGCAGCGGACACGGGAGGCGTGAGCCCGGGGACACTCGGCTCCGAGGCTACGCAGACCCCGGCTGGCACTGTCCCCCTCACCGCTGCCTTTCCCCCTGTGGCCGCCACTCGGCACCTGGCTCCAGCAAGCAAGGAGCAGCCCCGAGGCCCCGTGGGGAGCGGCTTCATCGCTGCTGGGGGCCACAGCGCAGGCGGACAGGAGGGGGCAGAGACGGGCAGTCTCACGAACGAGCGGGAGAAGGTTCGCACGGGCCCCCAGCTCACCGGCTCCTCGGGAGGCCACAGAGCTGCCCAGGCGTGTGCTGACGCCGTGGGGCGCGGCTGTGCGCAGCCTCAGACCCGGAGGAGCGCCTGGACGAGTGCGCGGCACAGAAATCGCGTGTCCCTGCACGCCCAGCCCCCGCCCCAGGCCCTGGGGCTGCTTGCTCCGGCTCCGCAGGACGGGGACCCGGTGCCAGCAGCTGCCTCAGCCGGGAGCCACCGGGAGCCCAGCTCTGTTCTGCGGCCTCCATGCTCCGGGCACCAGGGCCTCCGGAACCAACCGTGCTGAGCGGTCACCACGAGGCCACGAGGAGGGGGCCCCGCCCTGCCCCCCGCCTGCCTCAGGCCCTGCAGACTCCCCAGTGGCGGGGAGCAGGGGTCCCCAGGGCACGCACGTACTTGACGTTGGTGTTGGTGCAGATGACGTACTCGATCTCGTCCGAGTAGGGGTTCTGGAAGGTGAAGCTGCTGGTGCGGATCAGCAGCCACTCCCGGCTCTTCGTGCGGAATCGGTACATGACCGACAGCACTTGGCCTTTCAGCTTGACCACCTGTGAACACATTCGGAGAAGGATGTCCGCGGGAGGAGGGACGGTGCCAGATGGGCAGAAGGCGGGGCCCGCGGGGTCCGGTGGGGCCAGCACCGGGAAGCGGGGAGACAGCACGGGCACGTGGGGGCCGCCAGCGGAGGGGACCCTCCGTCTACTTCCCCATCCACACACGGCCCTGCAGCTGGCTCACTCGGCCACCAGCACGTGAGAACCCGACCAGCCAACGCCTGTTTCACTTCAGGAGTCTTTAGCTTTTACATATCAGATCACGACAAGTCTAAGTTGGGAGACAGCGTGTTCGCAGGGTCCAGAAAGGGCTCCTGCAGACAGGGGGTTTGGACACACGCTGGACACTGGACGGCGGGTAAGAGTCGTGAGCGGAGCGGTGTGGGACCGGCTCTCCTGGCGGGAGGCAGGGCGTGGGCAAACGCTCAGAGGCTGGGAACGGAGGGGCGAGGGGGTCGGCGGCACGTGTGAGGCCGCAGGCCCTGGGGTCCAGGCCTCGCGGCCAGGCCGGCACACACACTGTGCTCAGTCCGGGTGCGAGGCTGGGGTGCGAGGCTGAGACGCCAGGCCACACAGGCCGGGCCTGCACCCGGCTCGCACGCTGTGCCGGAAGGTGCCGGGACAGAAGCCGCTGGGACCCTCAGGGGCTCCGCGCCCCCGTCTGGCCTCCGGATGAGCCGGGACCGGAGAGGGAATCCGGAGCGAGCTCGGGTTCCGGGCCCCCGGCCCCCGGCCGGCACCACGCTGCCACCCGCCACACGCAGACCCCTCACGCACTTGGCCTGGGCCGCTCCAGCGCCTGTGTTTCCAGGGTCCAGGGCTGACTCTGAGCTGACATGGCTACTGCCCTGCTTTTACCAAAATAAGCCACTTCCCTTCGGCAACATTTGTGCCCCTCCCCGGCCGCCAGTGGCTGGAGCCCAGAGGATACAAGGAGGGGCCCAGGAGGTCCCTACGGCGGCTCGGCCGCTGCCTGCTGCCCTCTGCCCCTGTGACCGGCCAGGCTGTGGCTCGCCTCCCACCTGGGGAGGGGGCGCCGCTCACAGAGCAAGCGACACTGGGGCTGGCAATGGGGCGGGGCCAGGTGTAACACGCCTCCCTTTCCTCTTCAAAACCAAGCGGGCTCTGACGGTGTCGGCAGCGTAGAACCGCCACGTGCTGTCTGCTGACTCCCTGCCCCTCCATCCAGCTGGCTGCACGGGCCAGAAGCCGAGACGGCCTCTCCTCCCCGACCTCACTCCCCACCGCCGGCCCCTCAGTGCTCAGTGTGGGTGTGGGGCAGGTGCCTGGACGGATGCAGGGGACGAGCGTGACGGACAGTCTGGGCTGGAGCTGTGTCGGGGCAAAAGCGCCGAGGGAGAGGAGGGGAGGGGAGGCAGTCGAGGGCAGAGCCTTCGGCTCGCGGCCTGGAGGAGCGGGCCGAAGGGGGAGGACGGACGCGCGCGAGCCGTGGACACCAGGCAGAGCGTGGGGGGCGGGCGGGGCCGCAGGGGGCCCGTGCCTGGCGGGTGACGGAGTGCTGGGTCCCCAGGTGCGGACGTGACGCGGCACGACCTGCCACAGCAGGGTCTGCTGTCGCGGGGGCCGCTCCGGGCAGCGCAGGGTGTCGGGGCCCTGCTCTCCGGGGTGAATGGCAAACGCGGTCCCTCGTCCTCTCCCGACCCCACCCGGTCTTTTACTTCCTGGGGCCGGAGTGAGGCGCGGGAGCCCTCCGAGGAAGCTGTTCTCTCTCTCATCCCCGCTGACCCGGGCTAAGGGGGTACCAGGTCCTCAAGGGACCCAAGGAAGTTTACGCGAAAGCGTTTTCCATAGTGCCTGGCGCATAGTAGGTGCGGCGCATAGTAGGTGCTTAATGAACAGCTAACAGTAGCGATGCCCATGAGGCAGTTGTCGGGCTCGCCGAAGTCATCCCCCATTCTCTCTCCCTCCCCGTCTCTGCCCAAGGCATCGCTAACCCAGCGCTGTCCCCTCAACTGGCCGCCTCCTTCGCTGCCCACTGCTCCGGCCGTTTCCGGCCTCAGCACCTGTCGCCCGCACCATCGGGATGGCCTCCGACTTGTCTCGTTCCACGTTTGTGTCTCCTCCACGGCTGGGCCGCCACAGTTCTTTTCCAAATACACCGCTTCCCTTAAAATCCTCGAAGGACCCCTCACTTGAACGGGCCAGGAGAGAATTTAAACTCCTCCGCCCAGCACTGAGGCCCTTCGTACCCTGGCCTCGCCAGCCCCGTTTTGGCCGCCGCCCGAGTCCTCCCCACAAGCCGGCCAGAGTCGCTCCGGCCATCAGGGACCACTCGCTCTCCCAAGAGGCCACGTTCGCTTGCACCGCGGGTGCTGCCCCTCAGTCCAGAATGTCCTGCCACTTCCTCCATGCTCGCCTGTTGGGCCCCATCCCGACTGTCCCGTCCTGTAGGGACCGTTCCGGCGTCCTCCCCCCACTGCGAACCTCCACCCCATCTCGTGCCCTGCTGCACGGCAGGCCCTGACTGACGCCTCGGGCGGCGCCCTGTGCCCTGCCTGGCCCGTCGCAGGACTGACGGTGGCCTGCCGACCGCATCCACGCACGCCCGGCTTCCACGCCTGCTGCCGGCGGGCACTGGCGGTACCTGCTGAAAGCTCTCGCGCAGATGGCTCTGATCCTCGGAGTGGCAGAATTCCAAAATGTCCTTTCCCAGAAGATCCTGAATAAGGAGAGACACTTTATCAACCCCTTATGCCGTGTTCTCATGATGCGCACGCACTGTTCATTCTGTGCCCGTGCACGCATCTCCCCAGCCCACCTCATCACACGGGGGACAGTGGGGGCGGGCGGACTCCCCAGGGCATGCCACGTGGCTGGCCCCGGGCCCTAGCCTAACGCCCTCCGGCATGCTCGGCTCCGGCCTCTCATTGTGCTAAGGCACCAGCTCAGCGGCATCCAAATGCAATTTCACATGTGTTTGCCCCGGAGAGGCAAACTGTAATAAACACACTTTAATAAACACAAAAAGAAAGGAAATGGCAGCATGAAGGCAGATGTGCTGCCCACGAAACCGGAACTGTTTACACGTGGAAACTGTGGCTCTCCCGTGGCTGGAGAATCGTTGTCATCATGAAACAAGGTCCTTGTCAAAAGCCCGTTTCCCATCTACCTTCGCTGGCCGATGCTTTGTTCGAAGGACGTAGCATTAACCCAAAACAAAGGCGTGTTTCCCGAGGACGCCAACCCGGAGAGCAGGCCGGCGGCAAGTGTGTGAAATGGCACGAGATCTAAACTGACCCATCGATCAGGCCCCCGATCAGCAGGGGACCGCGATGGGAGCGGACACCATGGAAGGTGCCGGAGGATCAGTGCGCCCGGCTGGGGACGTATGGCCGCCGGAGGCCACACGGAGTCAGGTTTACGTGCATCCAGAGATGTCGGAACTACACGAACAGTTCCAGGGTTTCACTGTGGACTGTGTGTCTAGTTCTACGACAGACACGCAATTAAAGTACCTGTATCAACGTATCCTGAACTTTCCTCTTCAGAACAAAGATCTTTTTCTTTTTTTGCTTAAATTCTTTTTATTTAGAAAAGATTTTAAATCCGTAGAAAAATTGAAAGGATAGTCTGATAAACACCTGTGTATCCTTTACCTAGATTCAGTAATTGTCAATATTTTGCCACATTTGCATTTTTCCTCTTTCTTTCCCATATATGTAGATATCAATATACACAAATGAACTGTATAGGAAAATATATAAGTATCCTTCATACCTACACACATATTTAAAATTCCTTGTTGAATCATTTGAAAGTGTGTAGCAGACAGCATGACACTTCCCCCCACCGAAGCATGTATCTCATAAAAATGACATTCTTACTAAACCATAATGTATCACGTTACACTTTAAAAAAAAAACAATAAAACCATGCCCTGTTCCATGTGCATCTCTTCGACTGCCTCCCAAAAGCCTTTATAGCTATATATGTCTTCAAGCTGAGGACTAATTAGGGCTCCCACGCTGCATACTGTCATTTTATCTCGTTGGTTTATCTTAATCTAGAACAATCCCTCCTGCCTTGCTGTGCTTCTCATAACATAGACTTTTATTTCTTTTTAAAGGTCTGGAACAAAGACTTGAAAATGTGCCACCTGCAAGAGAAGCTCTAAATACATTCGAGAAACAAAGGGGCTAGGGAAAATTAAGTGGACGCCTTTGCTTTAAGACGTTTTCGAGTCTTTCATATTAATATGCTTTTTAAGTTTCCAAAGAGATTTCCTGTTTGGTTTTAATAAAAACTAACCCCTTTTCATAGAGCATCTTTCCTGCCGTTTGTGAAAAATCCGGTGGATAAACAGCGTGGCCCGGCCAAGAAACGGAGGGTCACGTGGGGCGGTGCGGTTGCCCATGCCGGCCTTTCCTGCCTGGGAAGGACCCGCCCGTCCAGGCTGGAACGTGGCTTTCTATGCGTGTCCCCCACATCACCGCTGCACTGCATCCCCCACCAATGAGATGAGCACATTTTCCACTAAGCTAAACCCCCAGCTGCTGCCGTGAGCTCAGGAAGACCGACCTGCGGCTGGTAGCCGATCACGCTGATGCAGCGCGGGTCCACAAACGTGATGACCGCGTCAGAGCTGTGCCGGGACAGGAACTCCGTGGGCACCGACATCCCGCTCATGTCCATGCACACGGGGGAGCTGGTCACCTGGAGCGGGGGAGCCGCGTCGAGGAGGTGTGGCCGGCGTCGGCGAGGGACAGGGAACAGAGACAGACAAGGGGCATTAACGTGGACTCCACATCACAGACCCCTCCACGCCATCGGCACGATGAGTCCACGAGGTTCAAACAGCCCGGGCCACACAGACACACTGGAAGGGCGGGCCGCTTTCCTCCCCTTCCCGAGCCTCGGTTTCCTGGTCGGTCGGTGGGGACAATGACACCTGTCCTCTCACAGGGCAGTTGAGACACCGCACCTTGAACCCCAGATCCACGCCCGGCACGAGGCTGGTGCTGGGAAATGCCCACACCCTCTCCTCTGCCCACCTCCCTCTGCCAGCGGGTCCCAGGAACTGGTCAGAACGTTCGGAAAGTCAAAACTCGTGGACCAAATCTGCCCAAGTAGTTTCTCCTCAGCCCTCTGCGAGGGATAATCAGTGTTTAACACACGTGAACGAAACTGCCTTTTCATCTGTCTGAGCTCGGTGAGACGGGGGCGTGGGAGGCTCCCACTCTCTGCTCTGTCGTCTACGGCTCCCTGGTCGGGAGGCACCCAAGGCCACAGGGAGAGCGAGGAGCCCAGGGCACATGAGTCACGGGCCTGAAACACGTTATTCAGCATAGTTGGTGCTTTCACAAGATGGAGAAGTCACCTTCCCCGCCCTTGAGAGCTGACAGGGCTGGGGCAGGCTCGACCAACTGTACGACCACGGAGACCAGGCCTGGGCACTGAGACGGACGCATGACCCCGTGCCGGGGTGTGCGGGGAGGCGATGGCGCATTCTGACCACACAGATATAGGAGACATTGTGACTGGGTCTCAAAGGATGAGTGAACAGGTGGAGAAGGGGCTCTGAAGCGGGGAGGGGCACGGGGAACCACGGGGAGGAAGGGAGAGCCTGTGGACACCCAGGGGCGAGGTCTGGAAACAGGGCGGGGGGGTGGGAAGCGGAAGGCTGCGCGGCGAGTCAGTGCCTTGTCCCGCAGACCCGAAGTGTACACCCCAGGTGTTTACACAGGTGTGACGTGAGCAGAGGTCGGCTTCGCAGAAGCACACACGTGTCGGGACGGACGGATGCAGGCCCTCGGCAAGGTGAGAACACACAGCTCACAGTCCCCCTCTCCACTCCCAGATCCAGCCTCGTCCTTCCCCCCACTGAGTGAGACACAGGGAACCCAACAAACTCTGGGTGCAGCGAGCTCAGAAGAGGCTCGGAAACCTGCAGGCCGCTGCTCTTTGTGACGTTAAGCCCACATTTGAGACGAAAAAGGCTGTGAGCTTCTTCTTACCTGAAGTCTTCCAATTGCCACGAGGCAATATTTACTGCCCTGTCCCACGTCGGCATCTTCCTCAGGTATAGTCATTCCTGAAACGAGACGTGACAGCATCGTCCACACATACCTACGACGGAGGGAAAAGGCGCACACAGGGCCCGCGACTGTGCCAACGCAATCGAAAAGACAGACCCGCTGCCAACCTTAAATTCGGACCTCGGAACTCTGCCCTGGATTACCGGATAGAGGGAGAACGCCTGATGATGGTGGACGCTTAATTCCAAGACCTTCGGCCCAGATGCAAGACTCCTTTCCAAATACCCTGCCACTAAATCACGAAAACTAACGTGCCTCTTCTTTCATCTAAAGGGAAAGCTGTGAGTGTTTTCTGTATAAACCTGGACTCAGAAGACAGAGCTCCATTTCCCGTAAATCGTAATCTGTAAACAGTTTGCCGAGGGGCGTCGGGAGGAAGGAGGGGGCATGACGGCCCCCCTCCGGGCCCGTGTCACCGACTGAAGACAGGAGGGGGCCGTGGGGGCGGCGGGCCCATTATCGTCCTGACGGGGGAGGGGGCGTCATCACAGAAAGCCGCGGGCGTTTTTCCAAGGGAAACGAGAGAACCGTGATGCTCCGGTCCCCTCCACGCCTCAGCTGCGGGACGTCACGGCCATTTTCAGCCTTCAGTTCTACAAGGTTCAGAGGTGCAACGAAGTGCTCCATGGGCTGGCTTCTCCGCTGTCTCCAGTTTCTAGAAGCTAAACCCCACCTGTGCAGAGTGGGCATCTAGAAGGCAGGGCTGTGTCCGGCAGTCCGCCCGCCACCCACCGCTGTGGGGCTACGCTGTCATCCAACTTCCTGTCAGAGCCGCTGGCGGCAGCAGCTCCCCAGTGACTCAGCACTCGGCAGGGCCTGGCCCCCGGTGCCCGGCTCCCTTCGCCTGCTCCCGCCTCCAACCGGCTCCTCTCTGCCCCGCGTCCGTGGAGATGAGCCAGCATCGGCCCTCGCTCGTGCCCCCAAACTGACCAGTTCCCAGCCGAGCTCCTTCCACCTAGGAACGGAACTCTGCAAAGGGAGGCCGTGCCCCTGGCCGTCTGCCTCTTCAGCTCTGACACTGTGGGTCTGCACGCACAGCTCCTAATTCGTGAGATCGCCCGAGTATGACGCACCTGACAAGCACCTACTGTGCGCCCAACACTCTGCTACAGTCTGCGCACCAGCAGTGCCCGAGAGCCAGGTCCCCCTCTCAAGTTCGCGGCTGACGCGGGCGCGGAGCATCGCGATGCCTTCTGGTTACTGTCAGGACCGAGGGATGAGCATGCTGCTCGGAGGAGGGGCACGTGACCGAGGCTGGGCCGGGCCAGGAGGAAACGCTTCCAGCAGGACCCGCAACGTTTGTGAAAGTCATTTTTAATCAGAACGTGGCCATTCCCCCATTTCAGCAGATTCCAAGGACTCCGTGATCGGCCTCACAAGCCCTACTGCCCTCCGCTAAATGACCTTTCCCAGGAAACACTCTTCCCCAGGCAGGTCCAAATAAACCCGAGTAGCGTGAACAACGCCCGGACGCAGAACTGGACACTGCTGTCTGGGAGGACGCTCGGCGCTGGCCGGGCCTGCCTCCTCAACCTGACCTGTGCACACGCTCGTGGGAAGCTGGACGACTGTCCGGTCGTGCTGGGTGGAGCCTGACCCGGGACTTATCCCGCACGTGTCAATAAGACCTATTTCTGCACTCCGCCAGACTGGGCGAGGAGGTGGCCACTGCCTTTTGCTGCAAGCGATTTAGGCCACTTGCTCACAGCACGCTTCCAGAGTCTTCTCTGGGGAATACTAACAAGTCTTAGGCAAAAAAAAAAAAAGAAATGATAATAATAGTAAGTTTGGCCAAACACGTTTGGGAAGCATAGTTTCAACAAAGACAGAGAGGTTTCGTCATCGCAAGCTTCAGGGAACGTAACGTGAGATGTGGAGCACGGTTCTCCGGGGGGGGGGGTCCCGAAGGCAGCGGTCCCCCAGGTTCCCCGAAGGCAGCGGTCCCCAAGGTTCTCCGGGGGGTGGTCCCGAAGGCAGCGGTCCCCAGCGGTTGGCCGTGGAACCCTTTCTCCACAGTACATCCTGGGGACGGGCGACTTCAGAAGGCATTCTGGGAAAAGCTGACTTGCAGATACTTTGCATTTCGGGGTTCCTGCCAGGGACCCTGAACGAATGGACCCCCGCTTTGCAAAGCAGAGCTTGGAAGGACACCTGGCGCTTCTGGCTCGAGACAGCAAATGGAGGCCACCTGAGTTACAAGCACCTGTCCCCACATCGTGGTGGCGAGGAGCGCCTGGGACGGGAGGAGAGCGGGTTGGGCCCAGAAACCATGAGCGTCGCCCCCAACGGGCCGGCAGCTGGGAGAAAATGTCGACGTGTAGGGTGTGTGGGCCACACGGGACTGAGGGAACTGCTGAGTAAGACCCAGTTCCCCGTCCGTGAAGGAGGAGGCCCCCAGCAGGACTGACCTGAGAGCTTAGAGCCACTGCAGCTTCAGATGAGCACAGACGTGGGGACACTGGGGACGGCAAATCTCCACCTCCCACCTCCCGGGAGGGACAGGATGCCAGTCCATCGCGCTGGGTTGCTGGTGACCTTACACATCTCTGCGCCCCACTGCTGGCCCTCATGCACGGACAAGTGACCCCTTGTCAGGTGACAGCAAAGCCAAACGTTCCTCCTCTTCTGTCCCCGTCAGAAAGGTCTCACTGGAACCCACGTGGCAAACGACGGGACCCCTCTCGTCCCTCACCAGGGGACAAGCGCACAGCGACCTCTGAGGTCAGCCACGTGGAGAAAATCACGAGCCCGTGGAAGAGAGACCGAGGTCAGGAATCGCAGCAGAGAAAAAAGACTGAAGAAAAAAGACTTTCTTCAATGAAGAAAAAAACAAGAAGAAATTCTAAATTCAGCTACTCGGGGTGACTCGAGAGAACACTATATTTATGAAAAAGGGACCACCTTAGTTCGGCAGGGGTCGACGTCAGACGAAAAAGCGTCCACGCCGAATTCTTAAAAACTTAAATGGCAGATGTGAACAGTGGACTGGGATGGAGAAATTCTCCAAGAATTTAGAAGAAAAAGGATAAAAAACTAGAGCAAAACTCGAAGTGGCAGGGAGAACGGAGCCGCAAGTCAGGACGGAGCTTCAGGCGTGAGCGGAGCGGGCCGAGAAGCCGCCGCCGCCTGGAAAAGCCCAACGAACGTCCCCAAAGCGAAGAAAGGCTGAGTCTGCACGCTGAGGGGTCCCCCCGCCCCCAGTTAAAATGAATGAAAACGGGCAGACGCAGCCGAGCGAGCATCCTGAGCTCTAAGGGTCAAACTCGAAACGACCTGCATGAATCACGGAGGGAGAAAAGCAGCATGGAGGCCGACGTCAGGCCTCTCCACGACAGTCTCTGCCAGGGCTGACGGAGCAGTGTCCCCACGGTCTGAGGGACAACCCCGTGCCCCAAGGACGCTCCGGGCAGTCGCGGAAGAGCAGCAGGAGGAACCCGTCCAACGCTGGCGGAGACGTGGGATGCAGCACCACCCACCCTCCTGGAAAGAAGCTGTCAGAGCGGCGTCCGCAGCCTCCGTGGAGCCAGGGGCCGCCGCTCCGCGGAGACTCCGATGCCCGAGGATCTGAGCCGAGCTGGAGGTGATGCTGGCGCTGGGAGCGGCTGCAGATACAGCGGAAGCTTCGCTGGCTCACCTGCCGCTCACCTCCGGCTGTGCCACCCGGCTTCTAACAGGTACCGGTCCACACCTGGGGGTGGGGGACCCCTGATTTAGAGGCTCAGCTGGCGCTGAGACATGAACTAAGACAGGGAGGGACCGTGGACGCGAAGGTACAAAAGCAGGGGGGCTGACCAGCTACGGGCAACGTGGTCACGGATGTCACTGCAAAAGGCAAACCCACTTCCTGTGAGACAGGTAACTACTACAGAACAACAATGACCATGCATCTAAAACCTAAATTAGGAGTCCAGAGCCCCCAGATTCTTCCCACACTAAGGGGAGGGGACCCAGTGTGACGCTTAAGCACACGAGTCTGCAGCTGGTCTTCCTGGGTCTGAATCCCGGCCGCGGTCCCCACCCAGTGTCCCCGGCTTTCCCCATCACCTCACAGCCCACAGCCCCACGGACCCCACACGCCTCCCTCTGCCCGGCCGCGTCCTCATTCGGGCCCCGCAATTCCTCCCTGGGCTGGTGCTCCCTGGTCCCTGGGCCTTCTTGCCTATTATCACTGCCCACCTCTCATTCAACGCAACTTCCAGAAGGATCTTCAACCCGACCCCCGTGGCTTTCAATGGCTCTCCGCAGAGTGCAGAGAAGGTTCCAGACTCAGGTGCAGCACGCGAGGCCCGCCCCCAGGGTCTGACTCTGCCCACCTGTCCGGCCGCATGGCCTAAGCCTGCTCCTTGCCATGGCTGTGGGAACGGGGCTAATTTCGCCATTCCGCTCCTCCCGGGCCCCCTGCAGAACGGAGGTGAGTAAGAAGCTGCCCACGCCTCGTCAGGGTGGTGGTGGGTACGAAGCAGCATCACGCACGTGAAGGAGTTTCATGGAGCCTGGCACGCGGTGGACACTCACAGATGAAAGCCGTATCATCGCTTACGTGTCCCCTGCCCTCAGCCAGTGTTCCTTACGCCTGTAAAGCAGCTTTCAACCAGCAAATTCTACCTCTTCCTTATGTTCCCACTCAAATGTCACTCCCCTTGCCTGTCCAGCCTTCGGTGAGGGGCGGCCACAGGGTGGAGAAGGACACCAGCCCTGACACCACCAGCAGATGGAGTCTCCCTGTGACGTGCACCCCGACGTGAGCCTCTGTGCTGACCTCGACCCACCTGCACCCCCACGTGTCTCCTGCATAGGGCCGTGGGTGCCTCAAGGGCCGAAGACGTGCCCTGGACCATGCGGGTAGCCAGAGTTCCCTGCAGGACGTGGAAGGGCAGCCCCGCCCCGCCCTGCCCGAGAACGAGGGGGGCAGGGGCTCTGCCGACCACCCTCCTCCATCCGTCATCTCACAAGCCAGGCCGTGGCTTTGGGGTCTCACCAGGACATCAGAGCACAG